GCAAATAGTTTAGCAAGTAAACATGGGGTATTTACTCCACTGTTGTTCCGGTGACCAGACTATTTGTTGTCCACAAGCACTGGACTGTTGGCTTAATCATGCAAATGTTAATATATTTGGAAAGCTCTGTGAATATTAGTAGAGCAAGTGCTCATCTGAAAACGTGTTCTTCATTATTCCTCACTTGTTGTTCTCCTCTCACTCCAGCATGCCGTCAAGAACTACAGATAACATATAGTGAACGGTGGATCATCTTGAGTTGGGGGTTCTCAAGTGGGAGGGCTGCAGACAGGCTCAGGGGGCGAAGACCATCTTCACCATCTATGACTAGACTGGAGATGGGAGCACTGCAAAACTTGTTCCTGTTTTAATATGGGAGCTCAATACTGGAAAGGTTGAGAGCCACTGGTCTAAATGAACAACTGCTGAAATCTGTTCACAAACTATTCAGTGCCTTTGTTTGTAGAAGCCAGGGAGCGGCTCTGTGACAAAGTGGGAATGTTCTTAATGTTTTCTCTAAATACTGTGTGGGTGCCTCAGTTTCCCCTATGCATTTCTTAAGTATCTAGGTGGTGGGATAAGGGTGTGCGATTGTTGCAGGGCCCTAGAGGGCAGGGGTGTGCAAGGGTCTGCACAGAAAATGGCTGACACCCTGTCTCCTGGCAACTGACAGCCTGGGCCCCTCCCCTGCAAAGGAGAACAAAGAGATCGGGTGACCTCCTGGCCCGGGAAAGAGACAAAGGCCAGAGAGGAGGGGCTGGAGAGTTTCAGTTTGGGGCTGGCTGGGAAAATGGAGGGGAGGCCAGACAGATCTCCTGGCCTCCCTTGGCCCCCCAAGATGGACCTAACTGAGGGGGTCCTGTTGTCTGTACCTGCAAGACCTGTCTTGGACTGTGTTCCTGTCGTCTAAATAAACCTTCTGTTTTACTGGCCTGCTGAGAGTCACGGTGAATCGCAGAAAGCCGAGGGTGCAGGGCCTTGTCTTCCCCAACTCCGTGACAGACTCCTCAGCTGTTGTCAATTGTCATAGCTCCATTGAATTCTCATCTCCACTTCTACAATGATCAACGCCCCCCACAACACACTTTGCAAGGTCCATGGATCTTACACATGCCTGTTGCCGGCACAGGGGCCCGAGGACAGCAACAGTGGGGTTCGGTGCCCGGAGTGCTTCACGCCAATAAACATACCGGGGTGGAGAAACAATCAAAGTTTATTTGAGATCCCAAAGTGGTGCAAGGAGACAGGCAAGTCTCAAATCGAGCACACCAGCAAAAACAGTTTCTCTCTTCTTTATACATTTTACAACTAAGCCCCCCCTCTCTCCCCCTTCCTACCACCCCCCCTCTACTCCCCCTCCCCTCTCTACCGAAGGCATGTTTATACATTTAAGCAACTAAATCATGCTAGGGCTATAAATCTAGCTTGTTAGTAACTTCTCCCTAAACAGTTATTTGGTCCTGTTTGCCCTTAGTTTATTACCCCTTCCCCAGCTAGAAACATGCAAACCTCATCATTATTGTTTGGTACCTGGCATGAGCAAGGTCGTAATTGCTAACTGGCTATTTACACATTCCAATTCCTGTCCTTGGTTGTTAAGGTCGATTAGAGTTAAACATGGAAGGACTCTGGCTCAGGCAGGCATAGTAACCCCAACATGCCTATCACAACATGTGGCATACGTGCACTCAATGCCCCAATAACAACTATGTGAGTGAAACCAGACAATCGCTGTGCTCTCGAATGAACTCACGCAGGAAAATGATACAAGACACAAACATCCCATCACCTACCGGTGAACACTTTTCACAAAGCAATCGCTTTGTATCTGACCTATCAGTCCTCTTCCACAAAGGAAACCTGCATAACTCCTTCAGAAGAGAGCCTGGGAGAGAGGAGTATTTAAACAGAGCTGTTGACTCGGTCAGGGGAGGAGACCTGGCCAGGAGAAAGGAGTGGGGGAGTTCCCTCTCTGGGAGTGGCCTGGTGAAGTCAGGCTGGAAGAGGCCCACAGGGAGCAGACCAGACTCTTGTGGGGAAGGCCCTGAGATAAGGCCTGTAAGGAGCAGGGAGACCCGTGAGTAAACTGCCTGAGTCCCTGGGGAAGGGAGGCAGTGGGGGAATCCTACTGAGGGAAAAAGCCACAGGGAGCAGACCAGCAGGCTGGCTCCTGTGAAGGGCTGAAGCACCAGAGACTGTTTGAGGCTAGAGACCTCAGGAAGATTTAGGTTGGGCAGGACAACACTTGATACCAGAGCCAGAGAAAGGCAGTAGGACCCCAAGAAAGAGTTGAGCACCAGGTCCAGAACAGAAGTGGATTACTTGAGACTTCAGACTACACCTAGACATTTTATTACCCTGGAAGGGGTTTGGACTTGCATGTCTCAGTCGGAGGGCTGAATGGCATGCAAAGGCAGATGGCCTGCAAGGGGCACTGGAGATGAAAACTCACAACTTTGTGCCCTGGTGGTGAGTCTGCCTCCCATTACAGCTACATCTCTCAGGGGTGGGGATTTTTCACATCCCTGAGAGAGAGCTTGCTGATGGTTGTTTTCAGCGTAGACCAGGCTACGTCGTCACTGTCCAAAAGGTGTTTTTTTCCAGGGAAATAACTAACACCTGATAGATATGTTGCTGTAAAATCCAGCGGAGACAAGGCATCTGTAGTTTTTACTGCCTGGTAGCTAGGCAAGGTCAGCACTGTACTCCACGCCTGTGGTTGATCTGGCGTAGTGGTAATGCTAGAATTTTACAGGGGGATAGGTAAAGAACAGTAGAAACCTGCAGTAAAAACAGGCCTTCTTTTGGCAACGAAGACAGAGCCTGAGGGACTGATGGTCGGGGGGCACTGCACTGGGACTGTGCGTTTGCTGATAAAGATGTTGTAGTGATTTCTGGGGAAATTGCTGCCTCCCCTAAGGCTGTGGGAGGGTGCTTCACCCCAAAGCAAGGTGTGAGGGTTTGGAACAAACTACTACACAGAGCGATTCCACCGGAGAAGCGCTAACACTGGAAGTAAAAAGGGGTTCGATGCCATTGGTGACATAATATTGTTACTTCCCAGGAATGTGGGTGGCTTCCAGTGACCGCCTTGAAAATGACAATTTGCAATAAAAACTTTACTGTTCAGTACATCTCCCAGTTTACCCATCGCCACGTGATCTTCTGCGCACTGAAATAAATGAGGACTGAAAATTGTCAAAGTAATGTCCCTTATCCATCTCTCTCTACCCGATGAAGAGAGATTGAGACATGCAACCGAATCAATGGCTTCCTCCTTGCAGGGCACCGTCATTTCCCCAAATTTAGCCTCTGTCCTGTATGACCCTGAGCAATGGGAGACACCTCGACAGTTCAACCCAGGTCACTTCCTGGACAAGGATGGAGACTTTGAGAGCCAAGAAATGTTCTTACCATTTTCAATAGGTAAATGCACTCACAGGTGCTGACTTTTTTTCTCCAGTGGGTGCCCTGCTCCACCTCTTCTCCCGAGGCCCTACCCTCGCTCTGCCTCTTCCCGCCCCCACTCCGTCCCCTCTCCTGAGGCCCCCCATCACTCGTTCCTTTCTGCCTCCCCCAAGCACCTCCTGCCACACACTCACTGCTCCGCTGACCACCCTGGGGCCCACCAAACAGCTGATCGGCAGCCAGCCCCCGGGGCACTGAACCACTGTGGATAGTGGGAGTGGAGTACCCCATATATTTTTCTGAGTGTTTGAGCCCCGGACCACCCACGGAGTCAGTGCCTATGACTGCACAGGCAATTCTAACCTTAAGTGGGTTAGTTTGTGAGTGTAGAACTTGGGGAGTCTATTCAAAATCTGTGGGCATTGTAACCAAAACTTCTCTCTCTGGAAACTCCACATGGAACATGATGATCCAAATGGCAGTTCCAATATGGTTACTTTCAAGCTTTTCCCAGGTTTTGTGCCATCCAGCTACATCTTTCACTCCCAATGTAAATATTTATCCTACAGAATAAAAATATGGAAGACCAAAGAGATTTGCTGAATAATGCCTAAAACTGATTTGCCTTATTCTCACAGGGGAACTCTCTGCTAACCAGTGAGTTTACCCACATAGTGCATGTTAGATATGTTAAAATGAGAGGAAAAACAGTGCCCATGGGGGAAGAACTTTCTGAATTTTAAGAAAAAGTGGAAAAAAGAGTAGAAAAGTCACAATGCAAATAATAAAACATCAACTGAAGTGTACGTTAGTGCTCTCTATAAGATTCATAGATTCTAGGACTGGAAGGGACCTCGAGAGGTCATTGAGTCCAGTCCCCTGCCCGCATGGCAGGACCAAATACTGTCTAGACCATCCCTGATAGACATTTATCTAACCTACTCTTAAATATCTCCAGAGATGGAGATTCCACAACCTCCGTAGGCAATCCAGTGCTCTTCATAAGATCAAGCATGGTTTTGTTCTAAAATGCTACAGACCCCCTTTCCCAGGCTCTAGTGATGGACATGTGGAAATGATCACTTGGAAGTGACCATTGGTCTCTTGGTTTGTATGTAGAGTGACCATGCCTCTGGACAACTAAAGGACTTGCTGCTTAATTCATATGAAAGGAACTGGGATCCATTCGCTCCCAAACAGATAGATGGAAAACATTTGCAAACAGCTGTGCAGATGTTCCATGGATGTGAGCCTGGACCTCAGCATCTCCCACACAAGGTGAATGAGGCTGTATGTGGATAAGAAGGAAACCATGATGGGGCCTGAAGGAATTTCTTTAAGATTCTCATTCAGGGAAAGATTTGGTCATTGAGGTAGTTGAAGTTGAATTCACAGCACAAGTGGCTCCTGATCTCATATAACCCTGGGTGGGATCTTTTAAAGGCAGAATTACAGATTTGTATTATTCGCTACCTTAGTCTCAAGGGTAAAATTGCCAAGATTAGCAAAAATATTATGCTTTATGGTGAGATGAACAAGGCTGCTTTTCGCGTTTCACAAAGTGGGCTGTGAGATGCGAAAGCCTTGGGTACTTACTGCCCTTCCCCTTGTCCCTCTGCAGGGCACCATGTGTGTTTGGGGGAGCACCTGGCAAGGACTGAGATCTTCATCATCTTCACCAGCCTGCTGTGGGCATTCACCTTCAGCCTGCCAGAGGGAGCGAAAGAACAGATTTTTTTAATGAGTACTGTGGGGAAAATGGGTAGGAAGGCTGTGTGTGTGTGTGTGTGTGTGTGTTTTTCTCAGCTTGGAGGATGGAACTTTTGGAGCTAAATCAGGGATTTTTATTCCTGAGGCAGGAGGCCAGGGCTCACAGCGACTGAAAATTAATTCAACTGGAAAGACTGAAGAGGGAGAGACCAATGAAGGATACAGCTATCGTGTCTGAAGTACGATGGAGCTGGAATAACAGTGAATGAAGGCTAGTGCCGAGTTCCTTTGCTGCTTGTGTTCAGAAGGTTCCAGAGAGGGCTGGGCAGTGGCAGTTGAAGGGAACATGGGGGAAGGGAACTCATGCCCAACAGCCAGTACCTTCAAGGGCTGAACATTCCCCAAGCGATGGCAGTTCTGACTGTGGGGACCATGAGGCCGCTGGGAGCCGGGCGGGGGGATTGGGCGCAGTTTTGAGCTGCTGTGAGGAAGTTCTGAGGAACAGTGGGGTTTCTCTGAAGGAAGCTTCTGACCAAGAGGGGATTGGGTTAGAGAGAGAGAGATCCGAAGCATCTTTGGAGGCATTTCTTAGCCAGTATGGAGCCAGGCTAGGTTGTCAGAAATGAGTGAAGGTGAACGGAGAGAACGGCTTTGCAAATTGCACGTGCCAAAAAAAGGAAAGCTATGTCCTCGGTGTGACGAACTGGGACTGTTCTTGCTGGGGTGTGTGAGTGCTGACAGGGGAGTGTGGCTAGGATGGTCTGCATCGGGGGATGGGAGTCTGCCCGAAGGCGCATACCTGAGCGTGTAACATGAGAACCCAGGAAGGGGTTGGAAGCCAGGTGACACCTTGGCCCGGGAAACTGAACAAAGGCTGTGGGAGGGGTCGCTGAAGGCAGTGTGCTGGAAGCGGGCTGGAGAGATGGCTCTGACCCCCCAAAGGGGGGTGGGCTGGGATGCCCTGGGACCCCAAGCTGGACCTAACTGGGGGGGGCCCTGTTGTCTGTGCCTGCAAGACCTGTCTTGGACTGTATTCCTGTCATCCAAATAAACCTTCTGCTTTACTGACTGGCTGAGAGTCATGGTGAATCGCAGGAAGCCGGGGGTGCAGGGCCCTGAGTTCCCCAATACTCCGTGACACTCGGCCCTTTTGAAAATTTACAGGTAAGCCTCATTTTCTGCCTTCATATTGTCCCCCAAATACATCTGCCTGAATGGAGTCTCATTGTTAGACGTTATCCTGGTTTGCTCAATTGAATTTAGATCACGAGTTCAATGCAGTTCACATTGCGAAATTGGGCTAATCTGGACACAAGAGTTGAATTATCTGGGTTCTCATGGTACAAACCCAGCAAGTTTATTCAGTTTAAGTCAGTTTGATGCAGTTCAGTCAAAGTTCACAGAGTAATAGAAAGGGGCTGAGATGTTAAAAATTCGGTGGCAGGTTCAGAGAATGTACCATGAGATTGAAATGCTACTAGACAGCTGCAGTGATCTGCCTTTACGAGTAAATGTGCATCCTGGGTAGTGCGGCTCAGTTGAGTTCAGCAGAGTTTACATCCAGCATCACCAATGAAATACTGGACTTTGTGTTACACAATGTCCCTCAGGTCTGAATTCTGGATGTGGAACAGGCACAAGAAAAGAACGTGTTGTGAATGCTAACCTTTGTCATGCCTAGGACTGTACTGGGAGCTGGGTAAACTTTATAAGTCGTTAAAGTTCACTCTGAACCACCAAGTTATCAGATTAATTATTGACAAGTTTGTAGCTTGTGCCCCTCTCTCCTATGCTCAGCTAAATGGCTTCCACTGTCAAAGTCTTCACTTTGTGATTCCAAAAAGTAGTTGTGACATTCTATACCTTGGGGGAGGTCATACTCGTATTCCTCATTTTCATATAATTGTGATCTTGCCTTACAAGGCATGCTTTAGATGTATCAGGGGAAAGGTTATGATCTGCTGAAAGTCACTTCTCTGTCCACATATGTGTATCATTGATGCATATGAAGTTATGAGAATTGTGTTGTCTGGTGGTCACTAAAACATGCTGTAAATTGGGGAATCAGCCAGATATTAGCTCCCCAGAGGCAACAGCCAGGAAAGTAACCAACGCCCAGGCAGTGTGTCAAACAACCCATCAACAGCCATTGTCCAGCAAGGGAGCTACAATGCAATGACTCACCTGCATGAAGCCACACCAGGGAAATTGCTCAACCTTGCTTGGAAAGACTCAGCAATTCCCCCTATACGTGCCTGGACCTGTTCTCCCCAAGCACATGGACTGAGGGTATAAAACAGACAAAGTGGACGTGTTCTGGGCCCTTCTCATGCCCCCACCTTCACAGCAAGCAACTAAGACACTGAGAAGAAAAGACTCCAACAGAGGAGATCAGCCCAGGTTTAAGGAACAAACCTGTATATTAAGGACTGCCAGAGGCTGAGCGTGAACAGCCCAGGAGTGGGGGTTCTCACTGCAGAGCAGGGTAAGGCAGGCTCCCAGAGTCAAGGATTGGAGTGACCTAACAGATCACCGGTCCAGATAACATCAGGGGAACGTCACAGTAGTTCCATATCGAGTGCCCAGAAGAAGCCTAAAAATTGAAAGTTAAAGGAAACATTAGAAAAATGCAGAGAAGCAAAGTGAAATATCTGAGGCGACAAATTCAGCTCAGAGATCCTGGGAAAACAGATCTATAACTTTAAAATAAAATATCCTCTCACGCTGGGTCTTTCATTCAATAGATCAGATCATCAGCTGATATAAATCAGTACCGTTCCATTGGCATCATGAGGATAAGGTGGTGCAGTATTCCACCTTAAACTTCTCTTCAAGGATATGTCAGATTTCCATCTGAATCAGTTAATTTACCTACCTTTATTTATTTATTTTTACAAAGTCCATTCTTCTTCTAGGGAAGCTGGGTTATATATAGTGGCCATCATATGAGTCCTTAGTTACTGTCTAGATAGAATCAAAACCCTTCTCTAAGTCACCCCAGATGTTTTTTGCCCAATGGGGGATATCTCTTGTTGCCTGATCTAATGATTAAGTATTTAATCCTTGGATTGTTTATAATTCCCAATTGACACTCTGAAATTTGGTAGGTTCTTGTCCCAAGTTCAGGCCCAATGTTACCAGAATTGCTGTTGTGTTGGGAGCCCCGAGGGGCCCCGGGAATGACAACAACACTCACACTCAGGGAAGACCTTTTGTAATTGCAAAAATTTTATTATCACTATGATTAGTCCTATAGGTAAAACAATCCAGACAATTAAGGTGAAATAACACAAGCCAGTAACAATGTCCCGCACCATTACATGTGTATAATCACTCTATGCTTGGCGAGGAATCAAAAGGTTGAGACAGATCCTAGTCTGACTGTGGCTTACCAGTAGAGAACTCCAATGGCCTAATCCATGGCCAGATGTTCTCTAGGCCTTGATGGCCATCCTGCATATGTATAAGTGACTCCTCCCTCCTTTACCATAACTTAACTTCCTCACCCTCATAATACTGGGGTGCCCTTATCCCATTGGTAAGTATAGTAACTCGTTCAAACTCATTAAAAGACACATCAACATTACCATAGTTACCTGCGATTCAACATCTGCTGATGTTTTCTTCCAAAAATACTCTAAATCTGATACCAACTGCCTTCTTTAGTCTTTCAGCACTTGTGATTATGACAAAACAGGCAAAACAAAGTCTTATACCATTTTATGATTTAAGGTCACTGTTAGTTTACTTACTTCTGCTAACTTCATTAAACAACTTCTACTAAGGCTCTGAGGCCTTGCTCTTAGCCTAATTCTTAGTCTAGGCCAATAGGCTTCTTGCGTTTCTATATTATTATTCGTATGTTTACAGTCTACCAAACCTGCTATGAACTAGAACTTCTTTCCCTTCCTATTGCACCAGGGTTTGTTACAACAGATCCGGAGCAGCGTCTGCTTCATGCCTCAGAAATGTCCTGGTCTTAGAGCTAAAGCTGGACTGTGGAGTTCCATCCCTGAACTGCTTTCTAGACTTAGTTTCTAGGTCTGATTCCGTATTTGGAAGAGCCAAACTACCCTGTCTCCGGCTAGGGATGCCCCAGACCCTGCTGGGGGTTGTTTATGCTACGTTTCGTGGCATACAAAGAAGTTAGATTAAAAATCTGAAATGTTCTTGCTGGAAGGTGGCAACGTAACACTGCTCTTTCTTAGAATTCAAATGATAACACGAAGAACCCCAAAGCAGAAAGGCTCAACTCACCCCACCTTCCTCGAGGCCGGCGGGCTCTTTCTGGTCACATGCTTTCTGCAGAGCCGGTTGGTCAGGGACACTCTCAAAGTAATAGCTTGCAATTTCAAACAATCCTCAATATATTCAGCATTAGTGAGGATCCACACTCACAGTAGAAGAAGAAGAAGAAGGGAATATGGTTCTCAATATCTTCCTGTGAATCTCCACCCTTCTCTTCTTCCCCTTTACTTTGGGGATTAAACTGCTCCTGGATTCTAAATTAGTGAAGGAACTGAGGTGGGTCTGCACTTCACCCCGTTACATGCCCTCAGGGGGTAAGGGGCTGTAGGGGAACTCAGTGCATGTGCAGCCTCAGACACTGCTGACCACAAAAATCCAGACGTCCGCACATGCAGACCAGCAGTAGGGACGGGGAGGGATAGCTCAATGGTTTGAGCATTGGCCTGCTAAACCCAGGGTTGTAAATTCAATCCTTGAGGGGGCCATTTAGGGATTTAGGGCAAAAATCTGTCTGGGGATTGGTCCTGCTTAGAGCAGGGGGTTGGACTAGATGACCTCCTGAGGTCCCTTCCAACCCTGATATTCTATGATATTCTATGATCCAGGCAGGCAACCAGCTCGTACAGCCACAGTTACTGCTATTAGGTACTCATTTTGAAGGGAAGCTTGTTTTACACTGCATGGCCCCCCTCGTTTTAAACCACCTCATTAAGATGAATTCGATCAAAACCTGAGTTATGCGAACAACAAAGCAAATTAAAAAACTCTGATTTCATGTAATTCTTGTCCTGCTTCTCGGGCAAGCAGGGGAATAAAATGCTAATAGTAAACTCATGCAGCAGCTCATGTCGCAAAACTTAAGGCTGCATAAAATTGAACATTTTAACATTTGCTGGTTTTACTTTTAAAATCTGGGACTCACGATTTCTGAGAGGGTTAATATCTAGTCGCTGTGGTTTGGCTGGCAGAAACATTGAATGCTTCTTCAGTAGAAAGATATCATTAAGTACCCCTTAGCCTGGCAATTCTTGGTTATGACGGTGACAATAAATGAGAGAAAGCAACACAGGGGAGGAAGAAGTATCAGGAAGACCAGAAGTTAGAAAAGAGACAGTAAGAGTTCAGCATTTCACAGCAACAGCCCTGAGTATTGATGGATAAAGCAGCAGGAAGATATTTGTGTTAAGTCATGTTTGTAATAGCTTTGGCTGTGTTTCATAGAACTGTGCAATTTCTAAAGCTGTGATAGGTGGCCAGGTAGCCAGTTATCAGCTGGATCGATGCCTAACCCTATAGTTGGGAACATGCAGGAGTTGGGTTTTAAACGTGATCATGAGATTCTTGTTAAGGTATTTATTTATTTATTTTCATATAATGAATTAACGGACAGTGATTGAGAACATATATGTAAATTATCAGTAAGGTACTTTTCATGCTAAGGAAAGTTTTATCCAAAACAGTAAACTGAGGTCAGAAATGCCATTACCTATTAATATGGAAAGTGGAGCATTTATGTCAAACCCACTGAGCCCATGATTTAATGAAAACACAGTATGTCTAACTCAGCAGAAAGGTGAAAGGAATCACCTTTCTTAAAGAGAAACTCCAACAGTATTTATGCATCCTCCTCCAGGGTCTCCAGTTGTGACCTTTAGATCTACTCCAAAGGGGAAGGAGGCAGGAAGATTGGACTTTTAGGAAAGAAGAGTTATTTGTCAGCTAGCCTTCGACTTCTGTGAATTAGCAGGGCCCTTCTCTCGAATGATGATTACCTAATGTGGAGCAAAGTTGCTGAGTATCTCACTAAGCTTCTATCAAACCTCAGAGAGGAATTAAAATCTTTGTCTGTGGAGGGTCAATAAATAGAGAAAAATTCCCTATACATTTGCATTGATGCTGCTGAAATGGTGCTGCGATCGATGGCAGCCGAGATGACTATGCGGCATGTGTCATGGCTCCAGTCTTCTGGGTTGCCAAAGAAGGTCCAAGTTACCCTGGAAGGCCGCCTCTTTGATGGGAATCATCTGATCCGTTCTAGAACTGATGAGTCGTAACGTACACTGGAAGTCTCTCCTACCATGTTATGGTCATTGGGTCTCTACACTTCCCTCTACAAGAAGAAGCAGTCTTGATATCGTACTCCGCTAAAACAGCCTGTCATTACTCCTTGTCATCATCCATATCAGAGAACATCAGATTTCTCTAAGAAGAAATAACATATACAAGGGAGGAGACTTCATCAGCATCATCACCGAATGCTGCTAAGGCTGGCTCTACGTCATTGTGATGTGTATAGAGAGAGCTGCCAACCAATCTTGGAGGATCTTTATCTCTTCCCCCTAGCTCCTTTGGGGACCATTTGCATTATTTCCAGGAAGCATGGAGCAGTATAACCAGTGACAGATGTGTACTGAAAATAATTCAAATAGGTTACTCTATTCAAGTCCAAACCCCCAATCCACTTTCCCCATCCCTTTTCAGGGACTCCTCTTACAAGGGTCTCCTCTCAACAAGAGTTTCAGTCACTGCTTCTTGGTGCTCTAGATGAGGTTCTCCCCCAGTATTGGGGAAAAGGATTCTATTCGATTCTATGGAATCCAGTATTGGACCTGAGAGAGCTGAATTTCTTTGTTTGCCAGTTCAAATGGTAATCCTGTCCTCCATACTTCCTTCCCTAGATCCTTTAGATTGGGTTGCAGATCTCAGTCTTGATAATGCATTTTAGTGAGCCAGTGTGGCACCCCTCCGTCACTGACAGGGCCGACCTCCCTCCAACCCCAGCGTGGGCGGAGCCACCGGGTCCGGGGCCCGCCCCTCCGAGGTCACAGCCCCAACCCGGAAGTATAAAAGCCCGCCAGCAGAGCTCAGTGAGGGCCAGACCGCCAGAGAGAGCAGACATCTCGGTCCGAGCTCCTGCTGGGGAGACAGCTGCAGGCCGCGAGCCGCCTGCTGACCCCCCGCGCCGGTCAAGCCTACCTCTCGCCAGGTACCCCGAGGAGGACTGGCCAAGCCTGCCCCGGACCAGCTGCCCCGAGGAGGAGTCAAGCCTGCCCCGTGCCAGTTACCCTGGGGGAGAGCTGCCGGACTGGGCCCCAAGCCCCGCACCAGAGGAACCGATGCTCCTGGACAGGCCTGAACCCGGCATCACCAATGAGGTAGGCCCCGAGGGGGGACATGGAAGTAGCCCGGGGGTAGCCGACCTCGGTCAGGCTGCAGAGGCCTGTGAGCCGATGTCAGTGTGTTTCGGTCTGGATACCCCACTGACCGGCAGCGGCAGTAACCGCTTCTAGGGCCCCGGGCTGGAACGCAGTGGAGTGGGTGGGCCTGCATCCCCCTCCCCGCCCCCCGCCACCCCGCACGGGTGGCAGGCTTCCCCCTCACCCGACGCTCAGGTGGGAGCCTGGGCTTACCTTAACTGCTTGTTTGCTCAGCCCCTGCATCCAAGGGCCTGAGCTGTGACTGTTTGTGCCCCGCCCTGACCCAGGGCCTGGGCCTGCGTAAACTGTTAATTAGCGCCCAGCCCCTGCCTAAGGGCCTGAGCTCCTGAACTGGGGGCCACTCAGCCCCTGTGTAAAGGGACCTGAGCTTGGACTGCCTGCACTTTAGTGAGCCAGTGTGGCACCCCTCCGTCTCGGAGGGTCGAGCCCCGGCGCAACCCTACTACATGCATATATCCATCTATTCCGCACACAGGAAATATTTTCATTTTGTAGTGGACAATGCACATTACCAGTACAGAGTGCTACCTTTGGGTTGTTGATGGCTTAGAGAAATTTCACAAAATTATGGCTGTATTAGCAGCATATCTCAGAAAGAGAAATGTGGTAGTTTACCCATAGCTCAACAATTCGTTGGTGAGATGATTGTCTCCAGAACAGGTGCTAAACAGCGTTCAGTATATCATCCATCTGTTCTCCAGACTGGGACTGAGACCAGATTCAGCTACCTGTTAGAATTGATCAATCAACTTCATAACAATCTGTGTACTACAGCAAGGACATATCATGTACTCTGGTGACCCCATTCACCAGACTCCGTCTTTGTCGTCTCCAGAGGTGGTTACAGACGGTCTGTCGTCCTGCTGTTCTCAGAATAGATATGTGCGTACACATACCTCAAGAGCTTTTGAACTCCCTCAACTGGTGGAAGGATCCACCTCAGTTCAGCCCAGCACTTCCCACAAAGTTAATAGTGCGACAGTTGCTTCAGTGTGTAGGCGGGGAGCCCATCTTGTCAACTTTACAGTACAGGGTCAGAGGTCTTGAAGAAAGGACCATCTGCATGTCATTGTCCTGGAGCTCAGCGTAACAGGGCTTGCCTGTGTGGCCTTTCGACCTCATATCAAAGATAAGAGTGTACAAATAAGGATCAGCAATACCACCATGAA